GATTTGTAAACACTGAGCCTAAAGGAAAAGCTGCTTAAGACAGGGTCAGTTGAAAKGGCAGCTAGGTTTGCAACACTAAGAGGTTTTACTCCTCCTTTCCCTCTCCATCTCTTACAAGAATGCATAAAAATGAAGAGCAGGGGAATGAACAGGGAGAATGAAATCTTTTTGCTACAGACACTGACACAATTATCAGTATAAATAAATAAGCAAATAGATACTGACAGTGCACATTGTGATGCTGGCTTTATATGATTGGGGCTTTCCATGAAGAAAGGAGAAAAGCAAAATCACTTTGTCAAGCATAAATGACAGGAGTCAGTAGTCGCTCATGTGAGATACCTTAGGGATTCCCGGAATTTTGCAAATGGCAGGAAAAAAAAAAGGACTCTGCACTGACATAGCACATCATACTCAGGAAGGACTGGAAATGAAAGGCTAGAGTCACATCRTATGGAAAATAAAAATTGTTAAGTAACACAGAATTCTTTGAGACTGAAATTCCAAGGTTAATTAATTCAGTAAATTCAGTAAATGATTCCACTACAGATCACCTGACAAGGATGGTGAAAACATTCTGAAAGTGTACAAAAGGCTGCCCAACAAGAAACACCCTGGGGATGGCAAATATAATTATTCCCATGTTGACTAGATAATTGATATGACAGGGTGCAATACAAGGACTGAATGTGGATGAGGTCTTGTAACATGGGTTGCTGAATGGGTTCATTTGTTACACGATATGAGATTTCCTATGTGAAGTGAATTACCTGTCATTTTAATACTCTGAAATTAGAGTATTTCTGCTGCTGCTCTTAAGAACAAATCTGGAAGATTTCCCTTTGCATAAGAAGAGAGAGTTCCAGGTTCCCTAAATATCAGGGCAATACCAGCAATGTCATTTCTGGTAACCCATCCTACCTCATAGATTTTTCAGTTTTCATGACAACAWCTGTCAAGTATGTTCAAGCATCCCTCTGTCCTTCAGAGTTTCCAAGGGGTGATTATTACCCTCACAGTAGCCAGGAGCCTCCAGGCCTTCCTTGAAAAATCTAATGACAATGATGCTGCTGTTCTCTATACCCCTTAATAATGAAGACTAGCCTCCTGTTCCTTAGGAAACAAAGTTCCTGTTCCTCAGGAACAGGACAAAGTTCCTGTTCCTCAGGAAACAAAGCTGAGCTGTCTGTATGAATGGAAAAACATTCAAGTCATCATGCATATCGTTTAAATTTTGGGCCAAAGAAATCTGGAAAAAAAAATGATTCTTTATAGCCCCATATTTTGGGGATGTCTGGAGGATGGTTCATGAACATCCAGTGGAGAATGTCCATGTACAAGGAAAGAAGAGAGAGAAACAGTTCCAACTGGTTCTTGTCACCTCTGGAGAATCTATTCTACAGGACTGGGCAGGCACCAATAAAGTACACTATCTGCTGAGTGGGTAAGATGTTAGGGTAGTGGTGTCTCTTCCAGTAGAGTTCCATGGAAAGGGGATCAGTTTGAGATCAGAGAAATAAAGAGATGACATAGAACATGAAACTTAAATGTAGTCTAGTTGCAATGATATGACTCTTTTAGTAGACTTTTTWAGTCTCTTTTAGTAGACTTTTGTCTGATATCTTCATTCTCAGCCTGTCACTTTCATTTTCCTATGAAATTTTCCAGAAGATTGACTTTAAAGTTCCTATCTGCAAACTGGGCAATCATGGAGAATCTGACTATTGAAGAATGAATGATTTTTATTTTTTCCACATGCAACACTTGACATAGATCAACAGTGGATTCTCTCTACCATAAAATTATTTAACCACTCTATGTCAAGAGATAAACTTGCAATACAGCTCAGCTATATGTCAAGCCAATTAATCATAATCTTTCTTTATGAGTATTTTGAATGGTTCTGTCATGAACAAACTTTGTTGTTTCACTTCCTACCTTTTTTATCATTTAAACACATATTTGAGCTCTGGATTTTATCAACTAAGAATAAAATCTTTTTGGCCTTGAAAG